TTTAGATTAGACATCCACAAGAACTATTTCACAGTTAGGGCGGCTAGGAGCTGGAACCAACTTGCAAGGGAAGTGGTGCTGGCCCCTACCCTGGGGGTCTTTAAGAACAGGCTAGATGCCTACCTGGCTGGAGTCATCTGAGTCCAGTTTTTTATTCTAATGGGGTCAGAAGTGTGTAGCTGCACTCTCTAACTTGGGAAACCATAAAAAGGAGCAACAGGAAAATTCAGACCCATACCTGGCAAAAAGGAGAACCTAGGCAACCAAGTTCCCAAACTATTTTTAGTAGGTCTGGGAACTAGTACAGGTTTCCCTCGATTTATGCTGTACATGCATTCCTGGAGAATGGCGCATAAATCGCATTTGCATAAAGCAAACCCAGTTTATAATGTAACAAATAGGGATACGTTCCCATGGCAGTGAGGGAGGGAGGGAAGGATGGAGTGAGGCTGGGACTAGGGAAGGGGCTGGGGGAGTGGCGCTGCTCCTGGGGCTGCACAAGGCAGCAAAGCAGAGGGAATAGAGCAGCACTCACCCCAGCCCCGGCTGCAGCAGGAGCGGCCGGCACCAGTTGCCTGCAGCCACTGGGCTACACCATGCTCCGCCTGTCCCTACTCATTCCAGGTCCTGGGCTGTGCCGTGCCTTGGTGCAGGCAGCTGGTGTCAGCTGCTCCCAGGGCTGCTGCAGCAGGGGCTGGGGTGAGTACTGTGACCCACACCACCCGGGGCTCCATTTGTCCACATTCACCCCAGCCTGTGCTGGAACAACCCTGAGAGCAGCCGACACCAGCTGCCTGCACCGCAGCACGGTGCAGCCCAGGACCTGGAGTGAGCCCAGGCATGATGGGGCAAGTGGAGCACAGTGCAGCCCTGCAGCTGCAGGCAGCTGGTGATGGCCGCTCCCAAGGCTCTTGTAGACAGGGCTGGCGTGAGTGGGACCACAGCCCGTTCCCCTCCCGCCACAGACTTACCTGCTTGGGTGGGGGGTGGGGGAGAGGGGGCATCTATGCTGATCGCATAAGAGTGAGTTTACTTCACATATGATGAAATATGGGTCTAAATATGCTCATCGCATAGGAGCAATTTCGCACACAAAGAACCCGCGTAAATGGAGGGAAACCTGTATACCAAAGAAAAAGCTGCTGTGCTAAGGCTTCCTTTAGAAAAGATTACAGAAGCTACACTGTGTTTGGTTTTATTTCATGCATCTTTTACTTAAAAAAGTCAAACTAAACTGCCTTATTCACTTAGAACTGGAAGATGATTATGTCAGCGATTACCAAATTAATATCATCCACTTAATGCTGCCAAAAGCAGAGCCTGGAATGTATTCTGTGCCGTTTGAGATCTAACTCAAAGGAGTGGTAACCCTAAATGTTAACACAAAGTTCCAATAAGAGGCAGTGCTCCTGCTCCAACCTGTTCTGGAGGTCCTCTATTTACAGCAGGGGTGGACAATTATTTCAGGCGGAGGGCCACTTACCCAGTTTTGGCAAGCTGTTGCGGGCCACATGGGTAGCCCCGCCCATTGACAGGTGCCCTGCCCCCTGGTCACCATCTTGGAACCAATGTCTCAGGGCCAGTACTGGTGGGGCCCAGAGCAGGACGCAGGCTGGCAGGGGTCTGTGGAGCTGGGTTGGTCTGCACCAGCAGGGAGAGGGGGGAACGGGCCCGGCTCCATAGAGCCCCTGCCAGCCAGGACCCTGTACCCCTGCCACCCTGCTCTGGGCCCCGCCGGCGATGGCCCCAGGACACTGGTGTGGGACCTGTGCACCTGCTTACTCCCAGCCCCGCAGTACAGGCTGGGGGTAGCGTGCAGCCCTGATACCCTGCTCGCCCACAGGGAATGAACTGGTGCTGAGCATGGGGGAAAGGCAGCCCCTCCCCTACCGCATGGCCAGCACTCCCTGCTGCAGCCACTCGCAGCCCACGTGGGGCCGTCCTGAGCAGGCACAGACGGGGTCCAGGGTGAAAAGGCTGCAGATGTTTGCAGCTGGCCCAGGTTCTGGATAGCTGCTGACAGTTACAGAGCCCGGGCTAGGGAGCAGGGGCTGTGGGTGAGGGGCAGGGGAAGCAGGGGTGGGGGGCAGGGGGCACAAGCCGGGCATCCTGCCATGTACTCCCTGCCCTCATTTTGTTTTGACCAGGCACAGGCAGCCCCAGGCGGGCTACAAGCAGCTGCAGCATGGGGTGTCAGGCACGGGGCGGAGCAGGGGCTGCTTTCCCCGTGCTCAGCACCAGCTTGTAACCTGGCCTCGCTGCCAGCCTGGGCCCCATGCGGCTCCGGGCTCACCTGTTGGGGCTGCTCCACAACAGCAGCAGCTGCGGCCCCCCCACTTGCTGTGCTGGGCAGCACTGGCTGCTGCTGCCCAGCATATGAGCTCTGGACAGGCAGCAGCAGGAAATGCTGGCCAGCACGGCAAGCCGGGGGGCCACAGCTGCTGCTGCTGTGCGCAACCCCAATAGGGGAGCCTAGAGCTGCGTGGGGCCCAGGTTGGCAGCAGGGGTGGGTTACAAGCTGGTGCTGAGCCCAGGGAAAAGCAGCCCCTCGCCTGCCCCGTGCCCCGCGCTGCAGCCACTCGCAGCCTGCTTGGGGCTGCCTGTGCCTGCTCCGGATAGCCTCGCGTGGGCTACCAGCGGCTGCAGTAGGGAGAACCAGCCGCAGGGCGGGGCGGCCCACCCTCCCTGCCCCCCCTTTCCTGAGGTTCCGGTGCCAGAGAAGCCACGTGGTCCCAGGCCAGAAGCCCCTCCTGGGGCTTCCAGCTAGGGGGGCAGGGTCCGGCGAGCTCTGCAGTTGTGGGAGCCCACCAGGCTTCCCCTGGGTCCTACTGCCCCTGGCTCCTGTCGTTTTTGACAGGAACCAAAGACAGAGAAATATTTTCTAAATTTTTTAGGGGCCCCACAGGCCGGACAGAATGGCCTCGTGGGTCAAATCCAGCCCGTGGGCCATATTTTGCCCACCCCTGATTTACAGCCTCAAGAATAAAGCAGTCCAGATTAAACATTATGAGAAAAAAGAGTTCACAAACAACATATTTTCTCCTTTAAAGGTCACCACTTAGCACATGTGGGGCTAATCTAGCTCCCTATGAACACCATAACACAAGTGACAATAACTGAATCTTATAAATGAAGAGTCAAGTTATTATCAAAATTAGAACTGAACAGAAAACAAAGAGAGAATTTAGGGGACCAGACACTGGCACTGTTACAAGCTGTAATATTTTTTTTAATGAATCATATCTTGTTGGTTCTCTCTACCCAACCTTTTTAAGGCCAGGAACTAGAAAAATGGTACTGCATTTGCTCCAGTACAGGCAGTCCTCAGACTTTCCACGCAATTGGTTCCTGAAAAACACATCTTAAATTGATACATCGTAACTCAGAAACAATTTTCTCATAGGAACCATGTTACAAATGGGGGATTGGTTCCTTTACAATGGTTGATACTGCATGTGGCTGGTAAGTGGTGGAAGGGAAGGGGGAAGGGAAGGTGTAGGGGCACAGATCAACAACCCCCAACGGTGAGGGAGGGACTGGGACTGGGGCTGGGAATGGAGCAAGCGCTGCCCACCTGGAGCTAGCTGGGTACGGCAGGGTAGTTGGGGCAGCAGCTTCTGCCTCTTCATGCTGTCCATCTGGCGACTCAACCAGCAGTTCCCACTGCTTATCCAGGAAGGCATGGGGGGGCATGTGCCCCTGGATCTGTGCAGGGTGGGGCTGGGGCTGCACCAAGCTGCACTCCGGCCAGGCAGCAGGGGTATATTGAATTTTCAGGTGGCCACAGGCCTCCTACAGCTCCTGGACTGCCCCGATCTAGGGGCATACACCCCCCCTGCCCTCCCGCCGCTCGTCCAGCCAGGACAGGGCGGGCACAGGACAAAGCCGCTGCGCTGCCTCCAGACAAGCAGCACGCAGTGGCACGAGCCACCCCCCCCCATACACCCCGGACAAGCCATAGCTTTGAAGGCATGGGGGGAGGGGCATGTGGCCCCAAATTGGGGCAGGGCGGGCAGTGCAGTCCCTGTTCTGCCCACCCTACACTGCACAGATCTGGGGGCACATGCCCCACCATGCTCTCCCAGACCAGCAGCGGGAGCAGCAGCAGGAACTGCCAGACAAGCAGTGTGCAGTGGCAGGAGCCGCTGCCCACCTTCCCCACACCCGCTTGGCCCCTGCTGGGCAGCACTTACCCTAAACCTAGTCCCAGTCCCTCCCTCACCACAGGGGCCATTGATCTGCCCCCGACACTCCTTCCCTTGCCCCACACCTTCCACCACTTACCAGCTGCATGCAGTATTAACCATTGTAAAGATGAAATCCATGTTGGAATGTTGACACAGGGCGCCAATTTATAAACGTCGTAAGTGAAATTCGTTGCAACTCAAATGTCCTAAGTCGAGGACTGCCTGTACATCAATATCCCACTAAGTGATTCACCTATTTTCTATCTGTAGTTTCAACTATGAATACAGCACCTCTACCATACAAAGGCTGTGGCCAATAAACTTCTAGAAATAGAGCCTAAAAATGTCCTATTCCTTATTTTTCTTCTACCTACTAAATCACCATGTCCTTTGGATATTAACAACTGATATCTGGTTGAATTTCTGAAGAATATCCTAAAAGAATGTGTGTTAAGAAATGATGCCATGAACCAAATACAGGGAAGAACCAAATGCAAGTAACAACATTAAGTGCATCTTACTTTGGTAAATGAGGTAATCCAGACTGCGACTCTTCAGAATAGGTAACCATACAGTGGTTCTTCTGTCCATATTGGGACAATAAAGAAATACAGTCCACCCTAGAAGGTGATGGTTTCTTTTCTGCTACATCTGCTAAAGGTGCCGGTCGTAGCAGTGATACCAAAGGTTGTACATTTGAGGCGCACTCAGGCTACAAAATATATAAAGGATGCATAGTTTTAAAAGCTGCAATTTACTAAATAGCATGAAATATACATTGTCTGAGGGTTCCCATTAGCTGATCCGGGCTCCCAGCTCCAGGGGCACACAACAGGCTCCTGCACCATGCATCTCCAAGGCTGGGAGCCCATCAGCTGATCCCTGCTTGCAACTGCAGGGACACACCTGATCAGCAAAGGCATTCCCAGCCAGGAGACTCCAGCCATGGAAGCGCAGCATGGTAGGCCCGACAGCTGCAGGGTTCCAGCCTCTGGAACACATGGGAGTCCAGATCAGTTGACAGGGCTCCCAGCCACAGGGTGCACCTAGCCATATATTTAATGAATGGCATGCTGGGAATCAGCCACAAAGTTATTATACGTTTTTTGCAGAACAACTTTATTATGGCTTATTCCTTGTTTATGATGCCATTAATTGCTTTAATGTGTGGCTGGGTTACAATTTAAGGTGCGATTAACTGGTCTATTTAAATGTAAATCCTGACCAAATTCATGTCTGATGACTGTTTGGTGGCTTATGCATAATGAATTATTGCTCACAATGGGGTTCCCACTAATATATATCTTAGTCTATAAAGCTGCATATCAACTCTAGAGGGTCGATATGCAGCTTTTATAGACTAAGATATAAAGAGCACAAGCTTTTATGAATCCAAATTCACTTCATCAGATGCTGTTTATAGTCACAGAAGAGAGATAAAGGTTGACTAGGTCTGAAGACAATGCTTCAGTTTCTCACCTCAGTTCATGGATAAGAAACATATGAAGCAATGTAAAAGAAGCCTTGTTTTGCTGCTATTAGTTTAGTATCATACAGATCAAAGACACTGTAGGTCTACAAAACGGGCCAGGATAAAGCTCTTAATGTAGGTTTGACATGGCAATTATTCTTGTTTTGTAAAGACTCGTTTGCAACGTCTCTTTCCATGGCAGGCCTTTGTTTCTCATCATATGTTTGGAAATCAACTAATGAAGGGAGTTTTTCATATCTGCAAATCACTTCTTTAAAGCTGTCACACAGTTGAGAAACTCCACGTAGACAGATGCGTTCTATAGAGGACAGTAAAGGGAACTGGTCCTTGCCAAGATCAAATTTACTCCCTGCAAGGCAGGAGAATGCAGAGGCTTTTAGTTTTGGCTTTGCCATACAACAGATACCCATAACTCAGAGACAGTTTAGTGAAATATAAATGATGTCTGCCATGGTTCAGAGGATGCATCAGAAGAGGACAAATTTAAAAGCCTCTCCAACCCCAGTGTAAGAATGGTATTTTACTGTTTACTTTGCAAAGTCATCTTCTATTTTATATTTAAACATGATATGCAGTTTACCTTCCTTTCTTTTTCAATAGACTCCAATGCAGCTTTTGCTGCTGCATCTTCTGCTTTTTTTTTGGATTGACCTTCAGCTGGAGGATATTCTTTTTTATTTATTACAGCCTTAACAGTGAACCTGCAATAAAGAAAATTAACTGCTCACAAAACACTGCCAAACCTTGCCATATACTTAAGTACCTTGTAAAGATTTGCTTGTTCTTCAGAGTGTTGCTATGCTATGCTATGCTATGCTAGGCTAGGCTATGAAAGTACTTTGGTATTCAAGGATTTCACGCATTTAACTCCTTTCCAAAATGTTTTAGAAATTTACATTGAAACATTTTTATTTAAATATGTTCTCCCCCCCTCCAGCAACTCACATATACATATTCTCCACTTAGTATAACACTTTCTAGGTGAGAAAGGGAAAAGACAGAAATGCCATCCTGCAGCCAACTTTCCCTTGTGGAGAGACCCGTCAACTTCTGCAGATGGATCTGTGGCTCAAGGACTGGACTCAAGACCCCTCAATGAACCATGGAAGACCCCTCAATGAACATTATTCTTGAATCAAGGGATTGCCAACTCCGATAACACTTTCTGAAAGATGGACTCCTTAAAAAACATACTGCACGGTGGTCAACAAGAGTGGATCTCTTGATACATATCCAAGACACCAACGAAGATACGTCTCACTACTACAGGTTGACAGCAGAGAGAGGATGGAGCCTACCTTAGGTCACATGTTGCGGGGTTGCTGCAAGGATCATTTAAAAACTATCACCACTTAATCATCATAAGAATGATAATCTAGCAGCTTACATATTCTTACATTATCACAAAAATCATAGAAAAATCAGGGTTGGAAGGGACCTCAGGAGGTCATTTAAAGCAGGACCATCCTCAACTACATCATCCCAGTTTTGCCTACCTCAGTCTTAAAAAACCTCCAGGGCTGGAGATGCCACAACCTCTCTGGGTAGTCTATTCCAGTGCTTTACTACCCTCCTCATAATAAAGTTCTTTCTAATATCTACCCTAAACTTTCCTTGAGGCTATTGCTCCTCGTTCTGCCATCTGCCACCCCTGAGAACAGTTTAGCTTCATCCTCTTTGTCACCACCCTTCAAGTAGTTGAAGGCTATTAAATCCCCCCTTGGTCTTCCCTACTGTGGACTAAATAAACCCAGTTCCCTCAGTCTCTCCTCATGTTATGTGCCCCAGCCCTCTAACCATTTCTGCTGCCTTCTGCTGAACTTAGTAGATTGTTCACTGTAGTGGGATGCACAGAACTGGACACAACACTCCAGATGTGGCCTCACCAGTGCAGAACAGAGGCAAATACAGGCATACCTCGTTTTATTGCGCTTCGCTCTATTGCGCTTCGCAGATATTGCGTTTTTTACAAATTGAAGGTTTGTGGCAACCTTCATTGTTGTCTTATTTTAAGAAATTGCCACAGCCACCCCAATCTTCAGCAACCACCACCCTGATCAGTCAGCAGCCATCAACATTGAGGCAAGACCCTCCACCAGCAAAAAGATTACGACTCACTGAAGGCTCAGATGATGGTTAGCATTTTTTAGCAATAAAGTATTTTTTAATTAAGGTATGTACATTGTTTTTTTAGACATAATGCTATTGCACACTTAATAGACTACAGTATAGTGTAAACATAACTTTTATATCCACTGGGAAACCAAAAAATTCATGTGACTCGCTTTATTGCGATATTCGCTTTATTGCGGTGGTCTGGAACCGAACCCGCAATATCTCCGAGGTATGCCTATGTATAGGCAGTCCGCGATTTATAACTTTTCACATTATGACAAACAGCATGTGCGATATTTGTAAACTGATACCCTGTTTTGAGGTTCTGATGCAGGTTTCACCTTTACCATGCTCGATACAGCTGTGTCCACTGGTAAGTCTGTTGTGGTTCGGGGAAGAAAGGAGAAAAGGGTATAGGGGGAAGGGGCAAATCAGTGCTCCACAGTGAGAGAGGGATTGGGGCTGGGACAGGGGCTGCCAAGCTGGGGCGGGGGGGCGGGGCCAGAACTCAGGGATGGCGTGGAACAGCTCC